CTTATGTTCTGCCTGAGCGCAAATCGTACCCAATTTGTGAAATACGCTCACTTGCCAAGAAGGTCACAACCGATCTTGAGCTATCGAAGAGATTCAACAAATTTGTGAGTAGCTTCTTTCAAGAAAGTATACAATAGCAACTGAAACATTAGGTGGCCTGTGTGCAGCACGTACCACACAAAGAACGAGGGATTCAGATGGTATATGTTGGAGTCAAACCAAATGGATGTGCAGATGAGTGTATTTCGCGATAACTGTCTTCACTCTGCAAGCCAATTTCGGAAGGTTCAACTGCATGAAACTTTATCTGGTCCAGCCCGCTTGATATATCCAGGAGCCAGCTTTGGCAATACATTGGGATCAGTACAGTTCTTCACGATTTGAAAGTGATGCTTAAGGGAATTTGTCGACATTTATTGACATTTGTTCAAGCCCTGTACGGCGCAGTTTGGACACCTGCTTTCTCTTTTTCCCTCTGCCTCTCTGTCTGTTTGGGCATCAACTTTGGGCCGAAGCGAATCCAAAATAGTTGTAGAGAAATGTACGAGCGTATGCAGGTTTTTTACAAAGTAAATTCACAGGCAGACCCTACGACTTGAGGGCTACCGCTCTATCCGACAGAAGTATGATAGAACTATTTGATAGAATTGACTCTCTTGGTCATTTTTGCACAAACCAACATGATTAGTGGCCATAATTATCTACCACCCCGTCATCTTTCACACACGATTCAAAACTTCAGACCACCGGTTAGATAACATGCTGACTTTAAAACCGCCTCTCCTCTTCACCATCCCAACAGGTCTAAACCAGGTACCAGGCGTTCGGTTGGTTGGGTAACATGTTATTCATCTCGAATCCCATGTGACATCACTTACTGTGGGCATCGGCGCAGTTTAATCCGTAAACGAATGTTAAGCCACCACCTCTATAGAAAGAACTGATTGATATCGGATTAAGAGTGTGGAGAAACCGTAAACATTCCAATCTTAAGACCCGTCACGAAGAGACTGGACCTTACCGCGGTGTGGCGGTTTGTGCGCCTCGGCGACCCGTTGAGCTATACTGGAGGGTACCGCGTGACCCTCGAGGGGTCTCTCCTACCAGATCGGTCGATGGTTATGGGTCTGACTAATACAGTCTTGGCCCCCCAGGTTGGGGGTTGGAGCATGTATGGCGACGTGTTCCGTAAAAATGGTAATGTACTTGCATTTCCAGACCAACATCACTGCCCTGCGGTTAGGATTTTGAGCCAACGGCCTTGGATGAGTACCCTAACCGTCCCCCTGTCTAGGTGTGGGCACTCTAGCAGTATCCCAGCCCTTGTACAACCATGACATACACAACTAACAATAATCTCATGCCACATCGGCCGTCGCGTGGTACCATCAGCCGGGTCGCCTCAATTGCTGTATACAGCAGAGCGGGTTAGCGAAAAAATGCTATTGCTGATGCCTCTCTTCTTGCACTTTCACGTTTTTGTCTTTCACCCTCCCCCATCTTAAATCAGCCTAGAACCAATAGACATGATGTCTCAGTTGCAGGACAAGTTGTGAGATCATTCACTAGACAGGTACGTCAGGAATAGCTGAATTTTCTTGTGAAGGAAAATCTTCGAGTTCCAACTGGAAGGCAGAAAGTCACACCTCTCCCGGTTGGGTTCGGGTATCCAAATCGATCTTCAATCTGTTAGCCTGATGGGATAACTTCAGACACAGGCGAGCACTTTATTATCGTCTGCACTGACGCTTGGTCTGGCCCAAGCTCACACCCAGCGTACGTCGCCCCAGTCGACCTCAACTAACTCCAGTCGTGCTTATCGATCGGTGTGGATTTTAACTGGCACTTGGGTGTGCATGCTAGATATCTTTGCCTGTCCGAGCCAGACAGCGCAGTCGACCTGGAGAGACACAATCATCGACCTTCCGTCACCATCATCACAACTTGACTTGGTAGCCTATAGATGTGGAGAAACAACCGTGGGAAGCAAATCCTAGTGAACCAGCTCGCTAAGTCATCCACTTCCTAATTTAAACATCCTTTGGAATCGATTCGGTAGGCCACTTTTTCCGTGCTACAGAGTCTGAATGGATGCGCACCCCAGCAGGAGGCTGTTGTCATTCACAGGCTAAGGGTCCTCCCAACCCGACTTACAGCATTGTCAATTTCAGGGTGAGTAAAAATGGCATTAGTTAAATGCAAAATTCTTTTGCAGTCTAATGGTCCTGAATGAGGGTCAGAAAAAATAACGTGGTGGCCATCACCGGCGCAGAGTCTAAAGTGGTTCAAGTTAAGTATTTTTTTGTTTCTCGAGTCACATGCGTTCTTCGTGTTTAAAAACAATCACATATCATCAGTTCAGCGACTCTTACATTTATGCTTTACTCTTCCGTATCCTCTAAAGACACTCTGCAGTGGAACGTCACTTTCGACTCACCTGAAAATGCTATCAAGAATTTCTCTTTTAAGTCCATCCCTTTAGACTAGAAATCAACTCTGATAAACGAACAATTTCGTTTAGTCTAATGAAGCCGATTCAGGTGATGATCCCCTCAGAACAGTCCCAACATTCGGTCTCTTCAGATGGTAACGAATGCATCTAGATATGCTTTCCCCCCAGGAGCGAAAATCCCAGAAACGAGAGGAAATGATCCTTCGCTTGGAGAAAAGAGTGACCTAAACCCAGGGGTGACTCCTTTTATGGAGCGTAACCCAGATGGCACAGAATAGCACGAGCTTGGCGGAATTACTCATGAGGAATTTTGGATCTTATAGTTACAAGATTTGACCGTCGGTACCAATCAATGCAAACATCACTTTATGACATTCAAATGTCAGGTGCCTTGATAACAAATCCATGATGTGATACCTGAAAATCTGTCCCTCACTGTTCGGCGGGAGTAAGAATAACGCTCACTTTGAAACCAGAATTGTGAGAAAATGTCAACCTTGCGATTTTACCGCAAGCCACAAAGAAAATGTCAAACCACTTGACAACTGAGGCCCGTTAAATTGTTGTAAGTGGCTAAGTTGTTGCTTTTTCGTCAAAAACAGATTTTCGATATAAATTCGATAAAAGTTACAACTGCTGATCGACTGTTTAGACTGATGGTCTCCCAGTTTGCCAATGAGTAAGTCAAATAACAAATGGCCAAAAGGTGAACCAGTTGGCACAAGTCTTATTCGCCAGTCAACTTTACACACGAAACTCTAATCGGTTGTTGAGACCGATAGCCTCCCAGTTGGCAAATAAGTAAGTCAAATAACAAATGGCCAAAAAGCGAGCCGATTGGCACAAGGCTTATTCGGCAGTCAGCTTT